ACTGGGGTACTCTGCCACAGGTGTACTGGTAAGACATCTAGACATGAATCACTGGATGACAGGTCTATATCAGTTCTCTTGCTGCCTTGTAACCACTCCCTGAAAAATGCACAACAGGTAAAACTGATTTTAGTAAAATGTGAAACAAGCAAAAGGTTCAGGCCAATGAAAGTTTAGTTCACACTTTGAAAATGCCAGAATAAGAAAAATGAAACTATAAATTTAATGAAAAAAAGATAATCCTATAGAGCTGCATGGTTTTCTAATTTGAGCATCACAGGATAACCAAGACTGCCAGCATCATGGCAGGACAACCGAGACTGCCAAAACATGGCAAGACAAGTGACACTGCCAGCATCATGGCAGGACAACCGAGACTGACAAAACATGGAAAGACAAGTGAGACTGCCAGCATCATGTCAGGACAACTGAAACTTCCAGAACATGGCAGGACAACCGAGACTGCTAGTTTCATGGCTTCACTGGCAGCTAGTGTTATCCTTTCAAAATGGGAGTGATATGGTGTGCACTATTGCACTTTGTTTGACAAACCAGTCTTGCAGCCGAGTTTTGAATAACCTTTCTTAATTTCTTAATCTAATAGTCACATGTACCAAAGAGGAGACTTGCAGTCACCTTATCTTGATGATTTAAATGCATGTACTAATTTCTCAGTGGTTCTGTTATTGAACACTTTCCTTAAATTTCCATTGCGTCATAGTGCATAAGATGCTGATTTACACACTTCAGATACGTGCTTCCCCACAGTGCCATTTTCATTGAGGGTAACTACCAGATCTTTTACAGAACTACATGGTTTTATAAGAACATCTATGCAAATGTTGACATTTGCTGCATTTTTTCCAATTTGCTTTGAACCTTGATGTAAACCATATCAACTGAATCTTAGTATCATTTAAAGCCAACATGTTCACTTTCATCCATTCTCAAAAACTAAGCAAGGCAAGCCTCCATAGGAGTGATTGTTGAGGACTGGTTGCTCTTGCATGTAATATAGACTTGTGTGTCATCTGCAAAAATGACAGTGTTCAGACCATGTTTAAGTATGATATCTGCTACATAGCATAGCATCAGGGCAGGGCAGCCGAGACTACCAGCTTCATGGCAGGACCATCGAGACTGCCAGAACATGGCAGGGCCATCAAGACTGCCAGCATCATGGCAAGACAACTGAAAACTGACAGCTTCATGGCAGGACCACCGAGACTGCCAAAACATGGCAGGGCCATCAAGACCGCCAGCATTATGGCAGGACAACTGAAAACTGCCAGAACATTGCAGGACCGTCAAGTATTATAGACGACGTTAAACATAAAAAGACTGAGTCCTTTACTGACGTATAGATAACACAATTTGTAACAATTTCGTTAGCACAATAGACACCATGGCACGTTTGTCCTCTGTGTACTTTGGACTCTTTGTACAAATCTTTAAAAAATGAAAAAATGTCGTGAGTATGCGATAAATAATAAACTCTTAGAAAATAATAGAAACAAACTAAAGTATATGCGTTAAAGTAAAAAAAATACATTTTACAATTACTCACATTATATGCTATCTACGGTACCAAACACAGGTGACCGACCAGTATGCTTGCTACTTGTGTACTAAATTCTCTCGAGATTTCATGGCAAGACAACCGAGACTGCCAGAACATGGCAGGACCACCCAGACTGCCAGAACATGGCAGGACCATCAAGACTGCCAGAACATGGCAGGACAACCCAGACTGCCAGAACATGGCAGGACCATCAAGACTGCCAGCATCATGGCAGGACAACCCAGACTGCCAGAACATGGCAGGACAACCCAGACTGCCAGAACATGGCAGGACCATCAAGACTGCCAG